TGTTTATTAATAATGACTTTTTTCTGTACAAGTTGTTTCAGTGATAACTGTATTTTTTCTTTAATACAAACAACATATTATTTATTTAAATGTTTTCATTTGATATGGTGCAATAATATTATTGGTAAATATGACACTTTAAAATGGCCATTTTCTATAAGAAATGGTTTAAACCAGGGGTCACCAATCTCGGTCCTGGAGGGCCGGTATCCCTGCAGGGTTTAGCTTCAACTTGCTTCAACAAACCTGCCTGGGTGTTTCAATTATACCTAGTTAAGGCTGATTTATACTTCTGCGTCAAACACCGGCGTATGCTACGGCGCTGACGCATAGCCCTTCGCCGTGGCCGTCGCCGTTCACTGACGTGCACCTCTCAAAAAATGTAACTACATGTCGCAACAAAGCGTAGCGCAAGCTCTGTGATTGGTCGGCTTGGTAGCGCTGACGAGTCTGGGCGGGACCGAGAGCCGCGCGAATGGCGCGAACCCAATGTAGCGATTGTTTACAAGTGTGGAGTCCCGTGAAGGAGCTTCGGATGGAAAGTTTTGTTTTGTGTTTACCTCATAGTTAAAGTTGTTGCACGTCCGCCGGTTCCTGCCTCAAAATGAGCGAGTTTGAGCCACTTGTACAACCAGGAAGTGTTCAGGAAACGCAAAACAGAAGCGAAGAAACTCGACACAGAGGAACATTTACACCTCACTGCCCACTAGCATTTCAGAAGTGTTAATGCAGACCAACAGAGACAGCGCGCAGAAGTATAAATGCACAGCTACGCGCGTTGCATGCGCCGTGAGTTACGCCGGTCACTTGACGCAGAAGTATAAATCAGCCTTAATACTTAGAAGAGTCAGACACCGTAGGGTTCAGCACAATTCATTCACATTGTCAAAATACAAGTGGATTAAGTTAACTTATCAGATTTGAGTGGATTGAATTTAGCAAAATTAAGTTGTCCTAAAAACAATCTCAAGAATTGTGTCGTTTCAGCTCATTTTTTATAAGTAGTTTGAACAAGCAGCAAACATCATTTTTTTTTAAAGTATGGATTTGGAAAGACATGAAGACAAAACCATCAATTCTGGGCGAACTGTCGCTGCAAAAGCAGGGTTTCTGCAGGTTTTGAGGATACATTTTTAAAAATGACAATTTAAGGGAAGAAATACAGCAATATGTTGAAGACTTAATATCTAGAGAGCAAAAATGAATGCCATGATTGTATAAATTTAAGACTTTCTGCTCTGATTTCAGACCTTAATTCATGGTAAAGCGTGAATGAAACCCCGCCCACTAGTACAGCAGCCAATCATCACCCTCAATAGACTGACATTTCTCCTGGGGAAAAGCTCAGACCATATGTGTGCTTTTACGACAGTTTTTGGGGTCAGCAAACACACTGGAATCTCAGCAATACTTGCTGCACAGACATAAGAAATATATCCACATACAGCTTGAAATCTGTGCTTTTAAATGAACCAAGTGCACTTGAAAACAAAAGTTTTCTGTAAGCGTTTTTTAAACCGAACGTGTCCAGTCCATCCTGTCAAACGCACATCACATGACAGCAGCAACTACTCAGACGCCCACAAACTATTAAACAAAGAGTAGCTGTTATTTCTGGAGGAGATTCACCATCAAGACCAAGTTGTGGATTACTTCAGAAGAGCAGCGGGATCTGATGATCATTATTCAGAGTGTGACATTCAATGACTGTAAAAAATATGGACGACGCGACAGTCCCTTTTCCCATTGAACGCCTTGAGGGCAAAACGCCTGCTTGACGGGCACAAACTGTCGCAAAAGACTGCTGAAATTGGAGCCTTGACATGCGCAGAAGGACTGTCTGATGGAGCCAGAGGAGGAGCCGCGAAAATGAGCGGAGTCGAGCTTCCAACCAAACGCTTTATGTAAAATCAACCACGCCCCCCGAACTGCTCAGCATGCGTTTGCTGTCATATCAACACAGATGGATGTAATAACGTTAACAAATATGAGGGTTTTATATATTCAATCGCGCCAGCTCCGGGCCGCAGCGCATAACCTACTCGCGGCGTCGCGGGCTGATTCCGGCTTGCATGCGGCAGCGCCGGCTCGCTCGATTGACTCGGGCTGGAATCGGGCAGTGAGTCCAGGCATCCGGAGTAGGTCCAGCAGAGGTAGTCAGTCTGAGCTCTGAGGGGTAAGTCTCCGGCAGGCGAGAATCTAGCCGGAACTGGCCCGAGTGTATTTTGCTATCTGGGTGGTTAGGCGTGTATCAGCAAACTAATAAAGCCCGAAAAAAGCCCTGCGAATAAACAGTGTTCCACCAGGATCATGTATGTCAGACACTATAGTTTACTGCTGAACTCATTTTGTCATGGTAAAATAACACAGAAATCGAATAATAACACTTCAGTCTCCTGCCGAAGCTCAGACGCGCTGCTTTGAGAAACTGTCAATCACAGCTGTCAATCACGATGACACGCCCAGCATTAAATTACCGCTAAAAACAAACTGTTTACAAAAATGAAGATCTGCACCTATTTCAGCACAATAACCAGTGCCTTAATCCACCAGAACCATCTTTCAGGACATTTTATTGCAAGTGTAATAAATGTTTTTATTTGGGCTCAAGTCTCCTTCATTAACACGGAGGAGGCGGGCTTTATGACTTGTACTGCAGCCAGCCCATAGGGGGCGATCTAACGGCCGAGACCTTCACTCAAACGCAGGCTTGCGGCACACTTGGTGACAACATGTAGAATGTTGGTGAGGTTGGTGTCGTGATCTCATTTCTTTCAAGCATGTGCATTAGCTTGAGGAATCTGAAAATATGCAGATTTTGTTTGATTTGGACGTTTAAAAATTAAACTTTTGACACAGTTGTTGATTCCTAATATGTAATGTTATCGTAAGCATGTCAAACAGTTTTGGAGAATATCATGTTTCCCCATTCAAACAGAATGCCCAAGCATACTGCCCGAGAGCCATTCAAAGAGTAAAATGACTTGCCTTAAAGGGACTTTGACACTATTCAGCAGTGTTTGTTGAAGCATAAACATCAAATTTCACAAGATTTCACATGATAAATTAACAAAGGATACAATTAAACATATCGTATGCCTTTTCAAGGTGGAGCTGTACAAATGTACAATCTGTATATCCTGCATTTTGCGTCCTGACACAAGTTTGAACGTATCTTTGCTCAGTAATGCATAGTAAACAATCTGAGCCTCCTGTTTTTAATATAAAAGTCCCACATGCAGAGTAAGTAAATCGACATTTAAAGTGCTTTGAAACGCGCATTCTTTACTTGATGTCTGACATAATCTCAACTAAAATATGAAGAAAGGGCAGGACATAGTGTAGCTCCTCCCCGTAAAAAAAAAAACAACCAATAGCGGTTCATTTTCTCACAGCTCTGCCAGAGGTTGAGCTCAAGCGCATCAAGTGAAAAGCATCTAAAAGGTGGCAGGGTATGTCAGCAGATAGAGAGTATTTGATTGCTCAGAAGATTTGATGAGAAACTGAAGTATGAGGTGATGTGAATAAAACCGTTGATCAATTTAGGTGGAAGAGACAAACTGCAAGCTTCAGATGTTTATATCAGTATCTTCTATACACAAATTTTGTCTCTGTTTTGGTATTCACTAGCTTATAGATATCTTAAAAATTAACAATACTAATACTCGCATCTAAAAAAATATGTATTTTAATGGGACCTCTTTTTCCAAGACCCACAGAAACCCTGAACATTTCGTAGGAGAGTGACCCCACAAATGTGGTGGACAGACGCTGTGTTTACTGACCTCTCGCACCTCCTGCTCCGGGGCCAAAACCTTGGTGAGCAACTTCAGGTCAATCTCTCCATCCTGGACACATTTAACATATTGAGTTAGTGAAAACATGAAGATACACAATATAAAGCCAGCTCAGCATGCAGCCAAACATCATCCCAAAACAGACACGGTAGGACCTAAAGGCACTGAATTATTACCGCCTTATATGATCCTCAGTTTCTGTGACAAATTACCACAAAAAATCATCAATTTCTCGCCCATCATTCATTCATTCATTCATTCATTCATTTTCCTTCAGCTTAGTCCCATATTTATCAGGGGTTACCACAGCGGAATGAACCACCAACTATTCCAGTATATGTTTTATAAATAAAAAAAGCTTTGGAACCACTTTAGGGAAAGTAAATGGTGGGAAAATGTTCATTTCTGGGTGAACTGTCCCTTTAAGGCTGTGGTCACCAAACTTGTTCCTGGAGGGCCGGTGTCCTGTAGATTTTAGCTCCAACCCTAATCAAACACACCTGAACAAGCTAATCAAGGTCTTACTAGGTGTACTTGAATCATCCAGGCAGGTGTGTTGAGGCAAGTTGGAGCTAAACCCTGCAGTGACACCGGCCCTCCAGGACTGATATTGGTGACCCCTGCTTTAAGGAATGACTGTGAGTCCTCACCAGGGTCTGGAAAGCGGAGAACTTCATCAGGTCATTGTCCAGATCTCTGTAGGTCATGACTCTGTTCACCTGGACACTGAAGACAGCAGAGAAAGATAAACATATGTGTGTTTCATCCTGTGAGGCTAGATTTAAATGAACTCTGCCAGGGGCCGCTCACACAGAAGGCATTTATGAATACAAATGGCCTACTTTTACATTGATTATTAGTTAATGTGCTTGATGGACTTGCATGACCGTTATGCTCACCTCACACATGAGTGATGACAGAAAGATGTCAGATGTAGTGGGAGATAAGATCACTATTGCTTGTGTTCATATGAGAGTTTGATGTGTGTCTGATACCTGGGTGGAGCTGCGATCTGCATGGTCAGATCCTCCTCCTGAACCTCCTCCAGGTCTGGAATCACTGGGATGTCTACAAAAAAAAAAATGTGAAAGAAGTGGATGTACACACCTGTAAAATCTACTGAGCCTTACAGATCTGTCTTTGCGTCAAAGTTAACCCTTAAAGTCTGCATGAACCGGAAGCTGCCACCGTTCCCCACAATTTCTGTTTTTTGAGTGAACTATCCCTTTAAAGAGCTTCAGGATGACACAAACAGTATCCCACTTCGTCAGATCTTCCTTTTACGCTGCCTGACGTAACAAGCTTCATTTACAGAAAGAATCGTTGAATGATTGTAACTGACTGTAGACTTTAACCTGCCCGCGCTCTCGTGCCCATATGTTGCATGCATCCACATCCTCCCCTTTAAATGAATCAGAATTTTAAAGGGCCATGAAAGCCCCTCGTTTCAGCAGGGTGTTTTCACACCTCTACTTTGGAAAAAGTCAGAAAAGTGGGCGTGTCCAGCTCTGTTTAGGAGGGAGTGTCGGAGGAAGAAAAGTGGGATGGTGTGGGAGTGTCTATTTGGGCACGCGCGAGTTTCAGAGTCAAAATACACACACACACACACACACACACACACACACACACACACACACACACACACACACACACACACACACACACACACACACACACACACACACACACACACACACACACAAACAAACACAAACAAACACACACACACACACACATACAGGAGAAAGTGATGGTGTTTAACCTACATAGACATCTGTAGTCGAATTATTTGCCAAATTATTAAATGTTGGACTTTAACTGCAGTTTGGCTCTTTCATTCAGGGAATTCATTCATGCCCCTCGTGACACACGTGATATTTTATTCGAGGAACTGCTCTAATCGTGTATTTTTCATGCAATGTTTTATACCGCACGGCGAATGAGAGAAAAAAAACTCAGCATTTCCCGGAAACTTAGATGCACACGGCAGGTAGTGTCAGAAAGCCGCGTGTGTTATTCTGGTCACTAAATGCGGTGAAAATCCTACACGAGGTTAAAGTTTGGTTGTGGTGCTAACATGTTTACACTGTGCAATAGTTAACTTAGTTCGATACGAACAAACTGAATAAACAAAGAGCACTGCTCACTCACTTGCCAAATCTGTAGAGACAGGACAATCACCAGCAACTAGAGCCGCGTCTTTATTAAGAGGAGACTACAAGCGAATCCGGATCTCAGCGTTTGCAGATGAGAACAGCTCTCAGGTAAACAATAATCCTCCTTAGACGCGTAAATTATTGTTGTCGCGCGTCGCGTACACTGTTAATCCACATGTAACTCTGAGCTCTCACAGAGAGAAAATGAAAACAAAACTGAACTGCAGCAAACTATAAAAGCAACACTTCACGCTTGTTTTGCCAACACAACGTGGCGTCTCTGTCGTCTAAACACTGTGACAGTAATGAATATTAATGAAGTTACACAATAGAGCGCGCTGATTGGTTTGAACCAAACCTTACTCATGCATTAATGCATCACACTGTAAGACGTAATAAGACTCACTCTGGCACAGACGTCCAGTCTGCACGCTGGAATACACGCTATTATGTCATGACCGTGACGCAGCTTCAAAAATTCGTTTCAAACCGGAAGTACGAATTTGCTTGAAATAACGCAAAAACAACCAATTTACACTTTTCAGTGAAATATAGGTGTCCTAATAGTGTTTTTAGCAGTGTGGGACACATATACCACTGTCAACAGCTCAACACATGTGCTTTGGTGTTTCGTGACCCTTTAAGTTTAAATTGAGGAAAGGAGTTTGATTACTTATGTGAAATTGTACAGAAGCCAGTCAGTAGAGTTTATAGCTAAATATTTTGCAGTGTTTGCATGTTCTTTACAATGTAGAAATCAGTAAAACAAAAATAAAGATAGAAGAATAGAAATAAAATAGAAATAAAATACCATTAATTAAAAGCACCTAAAGTGTTTTGCAGTTTGTCATTTTTTCAGTTGAATAAAAATCTATTTTACATTCATATGTTAGCAAATACTTAATAAATAATGCTAATATTTAAAATCCTGTATAAAAAGACATTTTTTTTCCATTCACGTAGGCTTAGCAAAATATTTAGCAGTGTTTGAATGTCCTTCACTGCATAGAATTGCTTAAAATAGAAGTTATATAAAATTTATTACAGGTTTGTTTAAAAAAAAACACCTGAATAGTTTTGTAATTTGTGTGTTGTTTTTTTTCAGAATAAATAATTTTCCATTCATGCATTTCATCATTGAAGATTTCTTAAAAATAGTTTAAAAATCTTGTCTCATCTCGTTCTCGTGAACCCAATATCGTGTCTCATCTAGTCTTGTGGAGTAAGCGTCTTGTCACACCCCTAACATACAGCTGAAGTCAGAATTATTTAATTTAAATGTCACTTTGAGCTGAATACTAGTGTCTTGAAGAATATCTAGTCTAATATTATTTACTGTCAACATGGCAAAGAGAAAATGAATCAGTTATTAGAGATGAGTTATTAACACTATTATGATTTAAAAATGTGTTGAAGAAATCTGCTCTCCGTTAAACAAAAAATAGGGGAAAATTAAACAGGGGGGCGAATAATTCTGACTTTACCTGTATATGTTAGCATGTTTCAAGTATGGATTGGCATGTTTCTTGCTAGGCGGTTGATAGGGTGTTCTGAGTGGTTGCTAAGGCTTTACTAGAGTGTTCTGAGTGGTTGCTAGGGTGTGGCTAGTAAGTTGAAAGATCATCAGTGATTGGCAGATTGGCAGTCTGAGTTAAATGAGCCCAGCCTTAAGTCTATATGACAGTCTGGCGCAAAGTTATGAGGTCACAAAGTTTGTTCCAATGTTAAGTCAATGGGACTTTTCCAAATTTTCTGGGCCAGTTTTCAAAAAAGGTCTGGAGTTAGTTTGGTGGTTGTAGTATGAACCGTCTAGGAGGAGATGCGTTCTTAAAGTAGTCGAAGAAGAAGTTTAAGTAGTATCACAGTATATTGGCTTTCTCAAACCACCATAACTAACATCTAAGTTTTTTTATTTTAATTTCAGAGACTTTTAACTATCCATTTCATAAAGAGCTTCAGGAAGACCATATCCCACTTTTAATCACAGAGCTTTCTTTCGCTCTGCCTGACATAGCAAGCTTGGTTTACAGAAGTATTATTGACTGATTGTAATTGACTTCAGTTTTGTTTACTCCACAGCCACCTCCAGCTTCCATATGCTGCAAGCGCCCACCGCCGGGTGTTGCAGCGAGTTGCAGCATTTCCCACAATCCCTCCACTCGGCGCAGATGCTGTGTGTCTGCTTGTATTGTGTGTGAAGTGGCGTTTCTCTCACTCTCGCTCTGACATCCTCTTCCGCGCTGCCCCCTGTCACGGCGAGCAGGCGGCCATGAATATTCAGTGTATTTCTGCCCGCTGCGAGGCGCCGCTCCGGCCAGGGGCTCCCCAGAAACACACCGACACACACATTTGGGCGCTGTCAGCGGCGGGCACCCTCAGGACCCGTCAGGCCAGAGCGGCGACCTGCGTTGGGTTCGGGCCGGGCTCCAGCGCTCAGGCCTGCCGGCGGGTCCATCTGTGTGGGGTCGGAAGTCACGGCGCGGCCTGGCAGGAGCCGCGGTGCCAAGAGCCACGCGCCCGCTGCCCGCAACAGTGGGAACCCGCTTTAATTGGCAAAACTCGACAGGACGGAGCGTGGCACCGCTCCCAAAGAAGGACAAACTTTCACAGCCCTTCTTCTCTTTTTTGGACACGCTCTTTTTGCTGGAGCGCGTTCAGGTTCAGACACAAGAGCACACACACGCACAAAATCCCCATCATGCAAGTTTGACTGTATTAAACTCAATACATGAATTAATAAAGTCTTGGGTAATAAAAGCAGGACTAAGTTTTATGACATTAAATACATGCAGTCACTTTATATTCAACTAATGTTGATTGCTTGTATGAGTTTCGTGCGAGGGGTTCCACAGGGATCAATCCTCGGGCCTGGATTGTTCACCCTGTATATGCTCCCTCTGGCTTCCATTTTCAATAAACATCAAGTTTCCTTCCATCTACAGTTGAAGTCAGAATTATTAGCCCACCTGTTTATTTTTTGCCCCAATTTCTGTTTAACGGAGAGCAGATTTTTTTTTCAGCACATTTCTAATCATAATAGTTTTAATAACTCATCTTTAATAACTGATTTATTTTCTCTTTGTCATGATGACAGTAAATAATATTAGACTAGATATTCTTCAAGACACTTCTATACAGCTTAAAGTGACATTTAAAGGCTTAACTAGGGTGATTAGGGTAACTAGGCAGGTTAGGGTAATTAGGCAAGTTATTATATAACGATGGGTTGTTCTGTAGACTATTAAAAGAAAAAAATTAGCTTAAAGAGGCTTATTGTCCATAAAATGGCTTATAAAAATTAGAAACTGCTTTTATCCTAGCCGAAATAAACCAAATAAGACTTTCTCCAGAGGCAAAAAATATTATCAGACATACTGTGAAAATTTCTTTGCTCTGTTAAACATCGTTTGGGAAATTTAAAAAAATTTAAAAAAAATAAATAAATAAAAGGGGGGCGAATAATTCTGACTTTAACTCTTTATGCGGATGACCCTCATGCCAGATGTATTTTCCTCTAAAACAAAAAGATGTAAATGGCTTACAACCACTCCTGGCTTGCTTAGAGCTTAAACCTTGGCTCTCAAGCTATTTCTTTAATTTAAACGAAAATAAAACTGAAGTAATTGTATTTGTTCATGCATGTTGTTATGACACGAGGTTACCTGTTCAACTAATGTTTACGTTCATATTATTTATATTATTTGCTAATTAATAACCACCATATGAGGAACTCTGAATCTGCTTCTCATTTCCGAGTCTGCTAATGTCCACCGGAGGTCGCATTTCTGTTGCAGATGCACGCTTTGAGCACCTTTATAACTGCATGAATGAAATGCGCTGATTTCCTCTAAGGTAACCCGGGCTGCTGAAATATAATTGGATAAAGTGGCATTGGATGGGTTTAACGACCAAAACGACAGACAAAAATAAAAAAGACGGCCGTTCCAGCACGTAACACACATTCAGCATTGTTTTTCAGATACAAGAATGTACACTCACTATGTTTCTGAAATTTCTGCAAACAAATTATAATGTTTTTATGCTTTAGAAGAGTTAAAAACGTACAAAGCTTATGCTTACAAATAGTTTGCTCCTGTAATCTTTAATTGAAATCTGAAAATGCACTTTCTGTTTGTTTTCAGACAGACCTAATCTGAGAATTAAGGTAGTGGGTGGGGCTGGCATACTTAACCACGCCCCTCCAGCTGTCAGTTTTGAGAACAAACAGAAATGGTGAGCGGGAGGAGTCTGTTAAGCCCCGTTCACACCGAGATGTTTTTTGCACGCGTTTTCCATCAACGTTTAACGCCTGGTGACTAAATAAAGGGCGT